ATAAAAGTAACATGATCTGAAAATGTGATAAAATTATTCCTTTACAAGTTTGAAAAAAACCAGTTATTTAAATATTACACCATAAGCTAAGCAAATTAAAATTATTTTGTTTTGTGGAACACTAGGAAGACAAATGTAAAAGTGAAAAAATGAAAATAGTAACACTAATGGAATAAATCAAAATATTGAAGCTGAATACTTGGCAGGCTGAAAATCCAGATTAATGAATGGATTTGACACAATCATTACTTATACCCACCATCCTTGAAAGAGGTTATTGTATTCAGGACTTTATTAACTGCAAATGTAGAAGGGGGTCTTTTTTGTATTCTGTTAAGTAATATCACGATGCTTCAAAAGATTTTTTTTTCTTTAATTAAATAGCCAGAATTTACCAGCTTTATTTTGTCACTGAAATGAATAAAGTCTAAAGGTGGTAGATCAATACCTCACAATATAACTTTTAATATAACTTATAGCAGGACTTCATAATTTGGGGTTTAAAGGCATTTAGCCTTTAAACAGTATGCTGGGAGCCACATTCTAACAAGTGAATGGAACCAAAGATACAGTAATTTTAATCCAATAATTGACATTTCAAAAACTAGAATCTTTTCAATTGACTTTGGAAGGACTGTAATATATATATTTAAACTGCTTTGGAAACATTTTTAACTACACTGTGTTGCTCTTTGCCTTCTTCCAAGCAATTTGAAATGTTAATTCATGGATAATGTTTAAGATTTGAGAGAAATGATTTCTAGGTAATAGTAATTAGATAGTAAAGAGCTTATTCGCTGTTTTCTCCCACACAGAAACAAGCAGTGTGATATATTTTAGGATCCTAAATTGAATATTAATGACAGGTCTCATTAGAGGAGTCTCTCCCATAACAATATGGTGGGACATAACTTACAGAAACCTATACAGAGCAGTCATCATCAAGATCAACAAGTACTGAGCTTGGTAATGGAATTCTGGACATCTGGTGATAAGTGGGCCACATGACTCAGGAGTGGTGCTTGAAAACCAGGACAAGCAACTGCAGGACTATTAGAAGAAAACAATTTCAAGCATTGGAAATATACAAAGACTGGAAACAAAGAAATAATGATTTGCTATTAGAAATCAAGTTAATAAGAAGAGGATACCTAAAAAGAATGCACCAATTGAAAATTGGTTAACATCTGGCAAAATCTGCCTGATAATGAAATATCTAACAAAAGAGGCAATACCAGGCAATTACAGAGCAGTTACCTGCTTACCAATAACTTTCAAATTGCTGATTTGGTAGCTGATGCAGCTTCTCTAGTTGAAAACTAGCTCTTTCCATCCAAGCAGAAACAAAACCACTCTTTCAGGAGACAAACAAAAGATCAGCTCCTAATTGAAAAGTTTGGATTTTGATTTTGGAAAACTGTAAGGGATGACAGAACAACTCGAACTTAATTTGGATTGATTACAAAAAAGACTCCCAGCCACGTAATTAGATAATAATGTGCTCAGAAATAATAAAAGACAGTTGAAACATCAGAAATTTTGTGAAAAGATAGATGACACAATGGAAGACACAGTTGATGGTCCATGGTGACAGATTGGGAGAGATTAATATCTAGAGAAAATCTTTCAAGGAGAGTCACTCTCATCACTATTGTTTGTCACTGCATTGATTCTTCTGTCAACAATACTAAATAAATCACACTGTGGCTATCAAACATCAAAAACATTTGCTAGGCTATCCCCATCTCCTTTATATGTATGTGACTTGAAGCTGTATGGAAAAATACCATCCGTGAAAGTGAAAATTGAAGGAATCAAGATGGCCTTTGGAAATAACATCAAGAGTCTGAGAAGATGATCACTACAACTTCCTGGGTATCCTTCAAGCTGACATCAAGCACACTGAAGTCAAGAAGAAGGTTACTAGTGAATACATCAGAAGAATGAAGATGACCTTAAAGTCCAAACTCAGTGATAGAAATATCATCGATTAATTCCTGAATAATTTGTCACTAGATACACAACAGGAATAGTGGACTGAACACAAGCAGAACTAAAAGCCCAGGATAGAAAGACCAGAAAAATAATGATACTAAATCATGCCCTTCATTTGTGCAGCAACTTTGACAGACTTTATTTACCAAGGAGCATAAGTGGGTATGGAATGTTGCAAGTATATCAGATAGATGAAGAAGAAGAAAAGGGCATTGGAAGAATATTTGAAGGGCAGTGAAGAAGATGCACTGAAGGCAGTGTATACCATGAGACCAAATTGGCCTTTAAGAAAGACCAAATGAAGAATAAAAAAGAGACCTAGTCAGTAAAACAAACAAACAAACAAATAATAAAACTAGCAGGCAAAGCAGATAATAAGACCTGGCAATGACTAAGAGCAAGAAAATTGATTCAGAGACTGATTCAGGCTACACAAGACCAAGCCTTGAAGACAAATGAATATGAAACCAAAATTGAGAAGACCGCAACAGACAGCAAATGCTGTCTCTGCAAAGAGGCTGAAGATATAGTGGACACCTATTCAGTTGCTGCAAGAAGATTGCAGACTTATTTCAAATAACGGTACGACAAAGTAGCAACAATGATGCATTGAATATCTACAAGAAATATCTCTACAAGCAAGAACTGATGGGACCACCAAATAGAGTAATAGAAAAAGAAGCTAAAGTGCTTTGAAATATTAGAATTCAAAAAGCCAAGCATCTGTTACATCCCAGACTTAACAACTGTTAATAAGAAATACCTAGAAAAATTGATAGTAAAAACTGCAATACCTGGAGATAGCAGAATAAAAGAGAAAAAACCAGAGAAAAATCACAAAATATAAAGACTGGAAAATAGAACTCAAAGACTGTGGCAAAAGAAAGCAAAAGTAGTACCAGTAATAATAGGCACTGTAGGGGCAGTTCCATAACACTGTAGCATCATTTGAACACTAGCATTGATGAAATCACCATCAGTTGCAAAAGGTGTCTTTATTTGGAATGGCTTAAGTCTGTGATGATACCTTTAACTCTATCAAACAGCAATATCAGCCTATCCAAGGTCTCTGGGAAGGACTCAACAGGTGAATAAAAATGCCAAATCCAGTCTAAACATCTGATTGTGTGACCAACAATAATAATTAAAAAGTTACACATTTATAATGCTACCCACTCCCAGGTACCCTGGGTGGTTAATCTGTCTGGACCAAGCATCCCAGGAGAAATTGTTGGTGTTCTGCAATGTACATAGTTCTGAGACTCATAGGCACTGAGGCTCAGTGACAGAATAGTCTGACAGAATAGGCCCTTGCTTGGAAATCATGCTCATTTCTAGCTTTTGGGATATTATTGAAAACCAAATTGTTTTGGAAATATACTGAAATATAATAAAACACCTAAGAGGAATTAAAGTGTGCTTATTTTTTGTGATAGCAGCTCTAATTTTAAAAATCATTTTAATTTTGCCATGTCCACAGATACATGTCTGCCATATTTGCAGATTTTTTTTTGAGAAGACTCCTTCGATATGCATAATTACCTATGAGATTCTTTGCCTTAGACCTATCTGTAAAATTCCACATTTCACATTGTTTTTCTTCATATCAGTTACTTATATAAACTATATGTAATATTACAAACCAGGAAACCATGTAGCAGCTTTAATCTCTTTTCTCCTATTACTTATTATCTGGAAGCTGAGTATATCATAATAATATTTAGTTTTATAAATAAACACATATCTAAAATGGCATCCTGCCCTACTTTCTATTGAAAATTGCTATGTGATGCTGGAAGCTACCAAAATAAGAACCCCTAATATCTACCAGATTATGGAATCTGATTTATTGAAACAATGGTTCACATTTAGCCACATCACATGATCACTAAGTGAGTTTTATAATAATAAAGCATGAGATTTAAATGGATAAATCAGTACTAAAATGAGGGAAACTATAATGAACCATGCAGCTTCAAATCATAATTTGCCTATTCACTTGGAAACCCAAACCTAGTGCCTACTCTAACTAAACGTATCATGCTCATTGTTTTCCCTTCAAAATTACATATTCCATGTTTGAAAAGAAAACATTGACATTTCAGTATTTAATATTATTTAAAATATCAAAATTTAAAACTATTTTAAGTTTAATAAATCATACAGAAGGTTTCAATAAATTTAAATGTTGACTGTATTTATCAATACTACTAAAACTCCTTTTGTCATGACTTTTAACTGGGCAAATGGTGCATTATAGGACAACAATTTTTGAACAAGGTGCTTCAAATGGGCTAACAAACATAATGTGTCCAAGTTCTGGGAATGACACCCAGAGGAATGAAATTTGGGGAAGTTGTGGCTGTTTCAGTGCTACTGGCTACTGCTGCACTGCTGCTGCAGTCATGTGATCTTCATTTTAAACATACTGTGATAATTTCCCAGCCAGTCTCACAATTCCTCCTCTTTCCCTGACCTAGCAGCTGCCACTTATCTGCTTCCAGGGCGGGGCAGGGCAGGGCAGAAGATTTTTAATACTCCCTGCTAGATTGCCATAAGGAGAAATTAAAAGGAAAGCTAGCAGGAAGTCAGTCCTGTTCGCACTCCTTTTTTTTTTGCCCGCCCTTGGTCATTTGTTTCTCTTTTAAGAGAATATCTCTGAAACAATGATCCAAAGAGCATGGGTTGTCCAGATTAATTTTCAGAAGTGCTTACAGGTTCTAAAGGAGGCATAGTACAGGGAACATCCAAAAAGATCCAAATTTCCTCTGACTGTTTATCAGGTTGCCTGCCACTCTAGCCTAACATCTAAATGGGGCATTTAAAGCACTAGCTGAATGAATAAGTTGGTTTCTAGGCTATAGAAGAAAACACAATTTAAAATGGGGCATCATTACCTCTAGTGCATCCTATCTGACATCATTTATGTCCCATGACCTGCATTCACCAAAGTCACTATTTATTCTATATATCCAGGGAAAAAAGTAAGGGAAAAAATTACATACCATAATCTGTGATCTTACATGATACCAAATAAAGTTCTTTCAAATTCTGTCCTTCTTTAGCAATGACCTCCACACATCTGCAATACATATAAATCTAGATTAAACAATGTTTGTATAGATTTTATAAGACTGAAAATCCAGTGGCTACTAGACTTTCGAATGTCATTGACTAATAGATGAAATTAGAACTTTAGCTTAATGTGAATACATTCTAATATATTTCAAAATATATAACTTCTCTATTTTTTAGTCTGAATTCAAAAAAGTTAACATATTTTAAAATATTCAATAAAATGTTTTCTATCTCATTTTATTTTTAATTACAAGATATAAAAGAAATGATTACAAATTGGCAACAAAATGTTTAATAATATCTCACTATTTGCACTTCAATTTTTTTAAAAATTGACCCTCAGAATTGATTTCATTTTGAAATACTATTATATTTTAATTTAATCAGATTATCTTGCAGGAGCTACCACTGTAAATTTGGATACTCTACTTTTTCCTGTATGCCTGAGTCAGTTGTACTGATGTCAGTAAACATTAGGGCTGAAATATGTTTACTTGCAGAAGAATATATTAATTGGAAAAAATATTTTGGTTTTAATTATTTTGTTGATTACTAAATCTGAATTTTACATTATTTTGTTCAAATATATGAGAGGAATAAACAAAACTATACATTTAAACAATTTTAGCATTTTATTTTATTTTATTGGTTTATTGGTTTACAATCCAAAACAGGCAACAATTTTCATTAATTAGTGTCTTCTATGTTTATATTTATATCCCAAAAATCATACCAATAACACAGAATTGTTTTTCTATTATTAAATGGATATAGGTAGAGAATAGACCAAATTATATTATCTACTGCAAGAGCTTCATAAAAATTTGAGACTGAAACATGTATCATTCAATGTAAAGAGAACAAATTACCCATACTATATATACTGTGAACTGCACTGCACTGCTTTTTACCTATATTTTATCTCTAACCTTACTGATGTCAACTGATATCTAGTCATTGTATTAAAGTAAGGCATATAAACAACAAGCCTTAAAAAAAGTGAAAGCAGGGAATACTGTTATGTATTGTCACAAACTCCTTCATGGATTACTGCCTTGTCGTGGCAAAGGGGCTTGCGTAACTCAATGAAGCTATGAGCTATGCTGTATAGGGCCACCCAAAACGGATAGGTCATAGCAGAAAGTTCTGACAAAATGTGATCCACTGGAGAAGGAAATGGCAATTCACTCCAGTATCTTTGCCATGAAAACCTCATGGACAGTACCAAAAGGCAAAAAGATATGATGCTGGAAGATGAGCCCCACAGGTCAGAAGGTGTCCAATATGCTACTGGGGAAGAGCAGAAGGCTAGTACTAGTAGTGCCAGAAAGAGTGAAGCGACTGGGCCAAAGCCAAAAGGACGCTCAGTTGTGGATGCATCTAGTGGTGAAAGGAAAGTCTGATGCTGTAAAGATCTTTTCTCCATAGGAACCTGGAATGTAAGATCCATGAATCAAGGCAAACTGGACGTGGTCAAACAAGAGATGACAAGACTGAACATAATAATAATAAAAGAGTGGGAAAAGCAATACTGGAATACAATCCCCAAAATGACAGAATGATCTCAGTGCAAATCCAAGGCAAACTATTCAATATCACAGTAGTCCCACGTCTATGCCCCAGCCATTGGTGCTGAAGAGGATTAAATTGACCAGTTCTATGAAGGTCTACAGCACCTTATAGAATCAATACCCAAAAATGATACTAAAGTAGGAAGCCAAAAGATAACCGGAATAACAGGCAAGTTTGGCCTTGGAATACAAAATGTAGCAGGGCACAGGCTGACAGAATTTTGTCAAGAGAATACGATGGTCATAGGAAACACTCTTTTCCAATAACCCAAGAGACGGTTCTACATATGGACATCACCAGACGGTCAACACAGAAATCAGATTGACTATGTGCTCTGCAGCCAAAGATGGAGAAGCTCTATACAATCAGTAAAAACAAGACAAGGAGCTGACTGTGGCTCAGATCATGAGCTTCTCGTTGCAAAATTTAGGCATAAATTGAAGAAAGTAGGGAAAAACACTAGGCCACTCATGTATGAACTAAATTATATTCCCGATGAATATACAGTAGAGGTGACAAATAGATTTAAGGAATTAGATCTGATAGACAGAGTGCCTGAAGAACTATGGATGAAGGTTCGCAACATTGTACAAGAGGTAGCAACTAAAACTATCCCAAAGAAAAAGAAATGCAAGAAAGCAAAATGGCTGTCTGAGGAACCTTTGCAAATAGCTGAGGAAAGAAGGGAAACGAAAGGCAAGGGAGAAAGAGAAAGATACACCCAATTGAATGCAGAATTCCAGAGAATAGTTAGAAGAGATAAGAATGCCCTCTTAAATGAACAGTGCAAAGAAATAGAAGAAAACAACAGAATAGGGAGGACCAGAGATCTCTTCAAGAAAATTGGAGATGTGAAGGAAATATTTCATGCAAAGATGGGCATGATAAAGGACCAAAATGGCAGGGACCTAATAGAGGCAGAAGAGATTAAGAAGAGGTGGCAAAATTATACAGAAGAACTATACTGTCCCTGATAACCACGATGGGGTGGTCACTGACCTCGAGCCAGACATCCTATAATGTGAAACGAAATGGGCCTTAGGAAAGCTGAGCAACAACAAAGCTGGTGGAGGTGACAGTATTCCAGCTGAACTATTCAAAATCTTAAAAGACAATGCAGTAAAGTGCTACACTCAATTTGCCAGCAAATTTGGAAAACTCAACAGTTGCCATAGGATTGGAAAAGATCAGTTTACATTCCAATTCCAAAGTAAGGCAATGCCAAAGAATGTTCCAACTATCAAACCATTGCACTCATTTCACATGCAAGTAAAGTTATGCTTAAAATCCTACAAGCTAGACTCCAGCAGAATGTGGATCGAAAACTTCCAGAAGTACAGGCAGAATTTCGAAGAGGCAGAGGAACTAGAGATCAAATTGCCAACATATGCTGGATCATGGAGAAGGCTAGGGAGTTCCAGAAAAACATCTACTTCTGCTTCATTGACTATGCTAAAGCCTTTGATTGTGTGGATCACTACAAATTATGGCAAGTTCTTAAAGAGATGGGAATACCAGACCATTTTATTTGTCTCTTGAGAAACCTATATGCAGGTCAAGAAGCAACAATGAGAACTGGACACGGAACCACTGATTGGTTCAAAATTGGGAAAGGAGTCCAGCAAGGCTGTATTCTGTCACCCTGCCTATTTAATTTATACGCAGAGCACATCATGAGAAAGTCAGGGCTAGATGAATCAAAAGTTGGAATTAAGATTGCCAGGAGAAATATCAACAACCTAAGATATGCAGATGATACCACTCTAATGGCAGAAAGTGAAGAACTAAAGAGCCTCTTGCTACGAGTGAAGAAGGAGAGTGCAAAAGTTGGCTTGAAACTTAACATTAAGAAAATCATCCCTCTCAATTCCTGGCGAATAGATGGGGAAGAAATGGAGGTAGTGACAGATTTTATCTTCCTGGGCTCCAAGACCACCACAGATGGGGACTGCAGCCAAGAAATTAAAAGACACTTGCTCCTGGGATGGAAAGCTATGGCAAATCTAGACAGCATACTAAAAAGCAGAGATATCACCCTGCCAACAAAAGTACGTATAGTCAAGGCCATGGTTTTTCCAGTTGCAATGTATGGCTGTGAAAGTTGGACCATAAGAAAGGCTGAGTGCAAAAGAATTGAGGCCTTTGAACTATGGTGCTGGAGAAACTCCTGCGAGTCCCCTGAACCGCAAAGCAATCAAACCGGTCAGTCCTAGAGGAGATCAACCCTGACTGCTCTTCAGAAGGCCAGATCCTGAAGTTGAAACTCAAGTACTTTGGCCACCTAATGAGAAGGACTCACTGGAGAAGAGCCTAGTGCTGGGAAAGATTGAGGGCAATAGAAGAAGGGGACGACAGAGAATGAGGTGGCTGGATGGAGTCACTGAAGCAGTAGGCGTGAGCTTAAATGGACTCCAGAAGATGGTAGAGGACAGGAAGGCCTGGAGGAACATTGTCCATGGGGTCGCGATGGGTCGGACATGACTTCGCAACTAACAACAACAATTGTCACAAATTATTGTCAATGCTCAATATATTTTAATGTTAAGTATCTTAAAATGTATGACTTTTTGATATGTATATGTATATGCAAAATTTAAATGCTAAATATGTATACTGCTCAAAAAAATAAAGGGAACACAAACGTATAGGATCCTATACATTTATGTTCCCTTTATTTTTTTTGAGCAGTATATTTAAAAATAATTTAAAAGGGATCCATTTTTCATTACAATTTGTCCATTATTCTGAGAAGTCTTCCAAATTTATTTATCTATTGGATAAAATATATGTTAATGAAACTGTAAAATACATGCTATTAAATTTCCAAATTTATTTATCTATTGGATAAAATATATGTTAATGAAACTGTAAAATACATGCTATTAAATTGAGTCAAAAGAAATTTGAATTATGGGAAATAATTGTCTATTCTATATGCATACATGGTTTTTACATTTTGGACTATCTTGCAAAAGCCTGGAACATGGCATTAGTGACAACTGAAATGAACTAATGAGGAAATATGACTACACAGCTTGCAAGAAAAGTGGTCCTTGGAGACCTTGTTACTGTTTGTGATGCATTTCAGCTAATAAAAGCTCCCAGACATTGGTTCAGAATATTTCACTTTTTTTTTTTAAAGGAGTTTCAATCACCTTACTATGAAAGGAAATGACACAATTAGAAACAGAACCTGATGAGACTTGGAATGACTAGCTGAAAACAGTTCTCTGATCACTGTTACTTTTACAGGAACTATATTTTTCTAAGGCGAAAAAACTTTAACATATAAACAAGAAAACATGATTAACTGGAAAACTTTAAAAATGCTTTATGTCCCAATGCAAGAAAACGTATATATTTTGAGCAAAATATATGTACATATCACATCTCATCATAGTATTTCTTTGATGATCTGTAATCATTCACTGG